TCATTTTATGTCTATCCTTATGATGAAAACAATAACGAATTGATTGATCACAACTAAAAATAAAGTTCTACTTATTTATATTTATGAATGTCTGCAATATATTATATCATATTTTCAATGATACGCCAGAGAAAATAGTAGCTACATCAAAAATATTTGAAGCAACCATCATTAAGTATTTTTTTCTAAATAAAGATAACAGATAAATGTTTTTTAACTATCATAGACATTTAAGAATAATAAAATATTTGCAAACTGTTTTACTTTTTTACATGAGAATGATAGTAAACTAAAACTTGAATGCATGTGTGATAAAGAATATTTGATTGGACATTAAAACTAAGCTTTAGGATTGAGGGAAATGATAAAGAAAGAGAGTTACATAATTCAACAAATTGAAATGGGGCAAATCATCATCAAACATCAATGCAGAAGTCATTTTAAAAAGCAAGGAATGCATGTAGAACAAATAATACATTTTTCGTCTCTTGTTTCTTCTGCTACAATTATTCAATATTGCAAGAATATTTTTGACAAATGGCAAATGCCTTTTAATTGTCTAAAACAAAATATTTGAAGAAGTAAGAATTTTATAGCTTTTTAGATTTTCTTTACTTTAGCAGTTCTGTCAAAATACTCATAAATTTCATTCAATTCAGAATTTATATAATTATGAGACTAGAAGTTCTCTATACGACTGACAGATGTTGTAAAGCAGAATATCATGTACTGTTTAACGGCCTCTATTTCTTTAACTAGACGACATGTAGTTACAGAGAGGCCAGCGAGTCCGTTAAACACTCCGCAACAGATTATTTGGCATTTAATTTTGCTAGCTTAGTTAAGCAATACGTCTTTCCCATTCATCTGGTAAACTGAGTTAACATGAGCAAATTTGAAATCAACCCGTTTTAAATTTTTTCTAAACCACTCTTGGTGAATTTCATATATTGCGCCATTTCTTTATAGTGGACATTGAAATGTTTTATTTCTTTCTATGCTTTCGTTTGCTAGAAACGTTACATCTATTTATTTAAACCACGTTCTAAGCGGGTGAACTCTACTTATATGAATTTTTGCAAACGTGAGTCTTTTTAATGAACAATTTGTCTAATCTGTTGCAACTATATCTAATTATCATAAATTATCTGAAGGCAAACGTGAAAATACTTTTTGGAGAAGGAAGTTAAAATGCTACATAATTATAGAAATCAATACTTGATTTATATAGCAAAAAAAGTTTAAGAACAAATGATTATATGATTATATTGATGATAAGCCTTTCATAAATAAAGTAAATGTTTTACTACAAAAGCTTTAAAGAAATTAGTAATCGTCCACCTTCTAATAAATAGAAAATAAAGATGATATCAAGCTCAACAAAAGCGTTTCTTGGGACTCTCATAATCCTGTCTATTGGTGGCCAAATATTAAATGGTAATGACGACATATCAATCTGCAAGAAAAGCTTAGAGACATTAAAAGACAACGTGAAAGAATGGATGGAAACTTGCGTTGATAAAAAACGCAATGACGATAACACAACTGCATGCAAGGAAGTAAAACAATACAACAAAGAAATGATGCAAATGCAAACAGAAATGTGTTTTTACAAAGGTATAATCTTTAGATTTGACAAATTTTCATGGTTTCTTGTTCATAGCACGAAAAACAATATTCAACAAAAATAGGTAGAAGTTGTGCAGCCAATCTAATTTCAGTTATGAACAATATTTCTACAGTGATAAATTCTTTCTAAAAATACTTATTCTGGTCTTTCACCAAATATTATGATCGTAAAGTCTATAAAAATTTGCATTTTTTTAATCCACTCTCATCGTTGTTATTTATAGTTTTTTTATTATTTATTTAGATATTTATCCAAAGCCATATTTGATTATTATGAGCTTTGATAAAATATACTCTGTTGATTCTATTACTGAAGATATTCATGTCAGCACTATTAATGGCTCCAGTAAGAATAAATTTGACCATGCATCAAGATATAATGACATACAAATTGATGTAGTTGAGAATGTGCTTTACTACATTGATGACAAAGACATCAAACGGGGAAATCTTGACTTGACTAGAAACGAAATTTTTGCGAAAAATGTTTTGTTCATGATATTACAGTTGACTGGATTGGTCGTCGTATCTTTTACATTGACTCCACGAACATTATCTACCAAATTTATTTGAAAAGAAAATACAAGTGTTATGAGGCTTCAACCAGGCTTACAATTTTCCAGCATTGCATTTGACTCAAAACATGGGTAAGGCGATATTGAAATTCTTTTATTTACTTGTAAGCGTAAAATTAATAAACTATGTCAATCTATTGGAGGGTTTTCTTAAGTAAGGTAAGAGTTTTGTTTTAGAGACGGTGTTTTAATTTAATAGAAAAGTTGAATTTTATAAGTCCGTATTATGGTTTGTTATTTAAAGGTGTAATAATAAAAAAAATATCGATTTTTCAGGGAAATCGAAACTCGCTTTTTTCCGAGGGAGCAAATATTAAGTATTTTGCTGGCTACAAAGAAACATAAGTCATATAGTTCGACAGATTTTTATTAAAATCAACGTCTTTCGGAGAGATTTTGCCAGCAAAATTTTATTGCGTGACTATAAGGCATTTCAAACAAATTGCAATAATGAACACGTTTCGTGTGATTGTTCAGCACACATGCGGTAGAAAATAACATGCAGATTCTGAAATTTCAAAAATCGACAGCGATATTTATGTTGAGCAACCAAAGAGCTTTGAGAAAAAAGGTAACAACGGAGTGATCAATGTTTATATATGATAAAGTCATTAAATGAAATAAAACAGAGCGGTAAAAACTGAAATAAAATATTAAATAATTATTTTGGACATAAAACTTTAGTCAAATACTTACAGAACCTTGGCTTTCCACAACCTACAAAAAAGTAGTACAACTTCACTGTGCAACTTAGTGTTGTGCATTTAATTCCATTGCTGGCTTTGGCTAGCCACCTAAGAGGGCTTTTCTTTGTCAGAAAAAGCAATTTGCTTGACGCCTCCATGGTAATCAATTGCTTAATAAGATATGCCCCACACTAAAGATTTCAACAAAGTGGGAGCATTGTTTGTTTCTATACTGTGCTCTTTTGTATACTTTTTTGAGGCAGTGTAAGAGATGTGCAACAATCTCAATACGGAATGGCAATAAAGTTTTAAAATATTCACGAATGTGGTGAACGTAAAGAACCTCAACTTTTCGTTTTGTAATGAAGATAAAAAGAACTACACACATTCCAACGTAGTTACATCAAAAATATAAAAATGGATTTTAGTTTTCAAAAATGGGGCAATTTAAAAAAACATAATCAATATATCAAATTTTTAGTTTTTCAAGCCTTCTTTTAACTTGCATTGAATGGCAGAGTATCTTGAAAAGTCGAGAGCTGCAAATTAAGTGGCTGCACACTTCCCTTTATTAAATCCATTCACACATCAAATCAAATCACCTGAATGAAAAATCATTCCACGACCTTTAGTTCATGCAGTATTTCTTAGTGTAGCTTAGACAAACGTTAGGTCTGTAGTTGCTCCACTGATGATGAAGCTGAAGATAATAATCATGTGATTAAAAAGAAATTGGCTTAAAAGCCTTGTGGAGTGAGAACTTTCTGAATATGTTATAAATAATTTACGACTTTAAAATAATTTCCTCTTCTAACGATTCCTATGAACTCTCCATTCACGAGAGCCTTCTAATCAATAAATACAAGCCTTCACTCTTCGTGCAAGGAGGTTCCATTCCACTTAACCTCTCTTAAATTCAATAAATTTTACTTCCCAACTTCTTTATCATGTAATCCATTTGACACCGCCTCCTCTAGTCGTAATTTAACATCTTTTGTAAATACAATATCTTGTCTTAAAATCTCATTATAAATTATTACTTGCCTGAATATGTCTATCGTAAGGACGAAACTTCTGTATAAATTCAATTTTACAGCTTTTGGTCTATTTCTATAGCTCTAATTAAAACTTTATGTTAGGCATTAATTGTTATCATATTACAAGAAAAAATTAACAAAAACCAAAAGAACGGTAATATATACAAGAAAGTTTTTAAAGAGTTCGGGGAAAGGTGCAATGAACGACAAGAAGACATGGACTTTGCTGTTACTCAAATGCGTAATACATTTAAGAAATGTATTGAACAATGCAAGTATGCTGCGATGATAATCAAAACTGCCAGTTGCATCAAACATTTTCCATAAAGTAAAGGCCATAGTGTTCCAGCAGTTTTTGCAGCTTGTCCAATCCAAAGATTCGTTAAAACACGAACATGACATGGCGATAGAATTATCATTTTCAAATGATACGAATAGCGCTATCTCCAGTGTTAATCTATTTTTGATTTTTCAGAAAAACAATGAAAAAATTTGACAATTAAAAAGAGAAGGTCAAGATAGTTTTAAAAAATCGTTTGTCCAAACAAACTGAAAAAAAAGTATCAACAAAAGACAATGTTTTTGAAGCTATAGCTCTTTTAAATACATTTGTGGACGATGATTCACCCAAGGAGTTGCTACTTTTCATGCAAGATGAAACTGAAAAATTAAGAAAGCTTAAAATTGAAATGACAAAGGTTTTTCTTAATTTTAAATCTACATTAAATGCTGCATATCATTTACCAACACCAAATTTTCAATTCGAACAAAATTTCCATGCATCACCTAATTTTCAGCATTATCAATTACCAACACAATTCATTCAGCAGCCACTCTAAACTACAGGATTACTCATTCCGACAATAATCTCAAACAACACCAATCATTATAGAAGTTATGTGAATAAAAATAACATATTACATTTATTATTATGTTCTGAACCACATGCAAAGTTTAATTACTTCATATATTTTAGTTCGGTTTTTAAAAGAGAGATTTCAAATGATAAAGATGATTTTTTCCTGTTAGTTAAAATAGCTTTATGTTGCTATATTATCAAATTTTATGAATATGTTCCATTAAACCGTCTGTATATGAAGGTAGTTCTAAATACTTTGACAACATCTTTGTCTAAACTAAAAAAATATTCTATCTTTCCTTTCTTGCAAATATTAGCCTGCCAATTGTTTATGTATTTTAGCACGTATAGAGAAAACTAATGTACAAAACTAATATTTTTATTAAGGTATCTATTCTTGGCAGAAAGTACAGAACGTTTCTTATGGTTATGGAACATGACTGCAAATAAACATCATATTTTTTCAGTTTCACTTCAGTCAATAGCACATGATCTAACGCTTGACATGGCTAAAGAGAAGATTTATTGGCGAGTTTCAAACGGAAATATTTCTTCTTGTGATTACTACTCCAATAATGTAACTGATTTTGGAACTTCAAGAGGTCCCATGGCATTATTTGGGGATTTCATTTATATCATGACTAGTGTTGGACGAAGTGCCGTTAGTGTCCATAACACAACAGATCAACATACGAGACGTAAATATATTCTTCCTGTAAACGAAGCTTATCTTGATTTGGCTGTAGCAATACACAGTATCACTCTTGACTCAAACGGTAAATATTTACCTATTTGACATAATAATCTAAGACATGCAAAAACTCCCGCGTTAATATTCATAAATAAGAAAGACGTTAAAAAGTTCAAAGTTACATTGCCTTGGTAAACGGTTGTTCTTCCTTCCAAAAATATAAAAAATTTGATGAACATTAAGTTCAAAGTGCAAAGTGTCTAATTTGGACGTTTTTGCCGTTTGTCTATTCTTATGAAACTTCTTGAGTGCTAAATTTACGTCTTTATTGTTTCTTACATCATTTAAACAATCACTTGGGCTGGAAATCATTCTTAAATAAAAAAAAATCATGAAAATAGATTGTAAGACAAAAACGTCCAAATTGAGCATGTTGTGCAGTGAGCTTAATGTTTATCAAATGTCTTAAAATTTCGGTATATTGCAAAACAGAGTTTAAACTTTTACATCTTTGGATTAAACTAGATTTGAAACTTTTCATTTTCTTTGTGCATGCTGTTCAAATTGAGGCGATTACGAAGTACTCTCATGGTTTTCGAGATTAATTGTTTATTCATTTTACTTCAAATAAACAAGGCAAAGTCATGCCAAAATACATGAGCTTTGACACATTTTGTGAGAACTGCTGATGAATTGATAATTTTCTGAACATTTTTTAATTATCTAACTTCTTTAGTATATCCTTTATAGTGTCCCAAAAAGCCAGCATAATTTGTTCATACTCTGTAAATTTTCAACATGTATTTAATTATTTTGTTTTTACGAAACGCGCGAACACCAAAAATACCAACATTGCATAACAAACTTGCTTGCTGGGTACGTCAACGTGCATACTAAGTGACAAATTGTGTTCTTTGAGGAAGAATATGTTTCGTTTGAAATCCCTGGTTGATTTTATTTTTAATTATATTGATCGATATAGCGACAAGCACTTTTCACTTTCCTTTGTGTGGACCCAACACATACTATCGTAAAATTAATGGAACATTGAACTGCACGTGTATGGAAGGATACTCAGGGGAATGTAACTCGTGCAAAGGTATGGATTTATTACTGTCTTTATCAAGATTTTTATCACCGATCATGAATAAAGAGCATCTCTGTGCAGTTTTAAAACTTTGTTCTTTGTTGAGAATCCTGAGCTGTTCTCTGTGCTGTTGCTTCTGTGCAAGGAATTTGCTGCATCTACATTTTACATGTAACCACAAAATAAGGCTCACAGCCACACATGCAAGTTCATCATTATCAATACAATCAAGCAGGAAATCAGTAATAAATTTATGAAAAGCTTCAATACACTTAAAAATTCCTCAGCACACAAAATTGAAAGTGTATGGTTCTCTAAATGACAATAGCATATGTTAGCATTAACACATTTTGATTTTCTCTACATTAAGGAGGGGGTAGGGTTAGGGTTAGGGTAAGGGTTAAGGTTAAGTTTAACACTCGTCCTGAAGTTAGTAATCTAGCTATGGCCCTGCTAACCTAGATACACCATATTAGACATTCTTGAGTTTATTATTGGTTTGCTTTCGTAAATTAAGAATTCTGTAAATCCAAACTTTAAAAAGCATTTTAACAGACATGCTTCCAGAACTTCTAGAATGAGTGCACCTCAATAATATTACATCAAATGTCTTCAACCAATGGATTGTAGCTTTATGAACTCTTTCCAAGAACAGACAAATATGGCCGTTGTCTGATTACTTAGTAGGCTATGTTGGCTGAAGCTTACATTCCCGCGTTTTTAAAAGTCCTGTTCTCTTTAAACATAGTTTTTACTCTTTGCCATTATAGATGAGATAAATGATCAAAATTGCAATAATATATCCTCTTGGAAACTGTACGATATACTATTATAATGCTCTATGTTCTATACATATACTATTATAATGCTCTATGTTCGTGAGTTTATCTCGTTCAAAATTTAAATTTATTCTATATTGTTTACACTATGAGTAACAAAACTGAAGCAAAGGCAAAGGAGCATAAGCAACGGAAACGTCCTCAAAAGTTGTATCACTTAAAGCCCCACAAATTTTTCTAAGCTTACAGGCCGCGCAATTAGTCATCTGCCGCTTAGTATGGGTGGTATGCACTGATAATGTTCATTCATTCATATCTTGTTAATTTTCGATGTAAGAAAATTAGGTTTTAAAGTTAAGCATTCACTTCCTATAAAAACCTAAATAAGGAATATTTTTAAGAGATACAATAAATAAGGTCAAAAAATGTATGTAAATAATGTGTAATAACGTTTTTCAGTAGATGGCATTAAATTTCAACTGGTTTAATAAAATTTCAAATGACATTCTTACTATTCAATTTAACGCTATTAGAGTTAGACTGGAATTTTTTTATTCAGACATAAAAAATTTCATGTAAGCACACATTACAATGAAATTGACTTTAATCTGGAAAATTAGGAATGTTATTTGAAATGGGCGTAAAAATGAGGTATATTTGACAGCTTACCTCAAGTTCATTCACATTTTTGGTGTTATGATTTCCTTATTTTAGTATTTTTTTCTCTATTACAATATTATGGAATGAATTAGATTTTAGTCTAAAACAGACAGTTGATTATGCACAATATAAATACATAACAAATCCACATCAACATTTAACGATTATTATAACCATCCAATTAAACACGAAGATTTCCCTTTATAAGTAAAATGTCAAGTGTTAGCCGGACTACATAAGTTTCACATCAATTTCTTTTTTTTCTTTTAAAATTTCTATACAATTTTTTTAAGAATTGTATTCTATTATACTTTAATCTGCAACTTGTGGCTACTCTACAAAACCAGCTCAAAGACCCTCCTCATTCCTTAAAATCCCTTAAGGTATTGAAAGACTTGTTTTAAAAAACATATGTCTGCAAAGCACAATCCTGCCTGTTTAAGCATTTTTCGTCAGCTTTTACAGTTTAAAAGTGCATATTAAATATTCTATTCTATTCGTACAAATCATTCCGAAAACAATTACTTGTTATTGTTGTCTTATTTATTTTTTCATTCGTCTAGCAAGCTGTCCTTCTGATTGGTTGCATATAGGATCATCTTGTTATTTCTTCAGTGCAAAAGTAGCAACATGGAATAAAGCAAGAAAACTTTGTCAACAGAAGGGAGGAGATCTTGCTCTTCCAAAGAATAATGCTGAGAATAATGCCATTTCAAGAATCATCTTGAGAAAAGGCAGGGAAGGTCATTTTATTGGTTTGTATCGCAATAAAAGCGACAATCAGTTCTACACAGTTCAAAATGTCAAGCCCAGTTTCACATTATTCCATCTGGGAGAACCTAATAATTCTGGTGGTGTAGAGGACTGTGTTGTAATTTATGACACGTGGAATGACGTTGATTGTGAGCGTCCCTTTAACTTCATCTGTCAACGTGAGAGACGTAATTTAAACTGTGAGTAGCTTCTATAATTATCAATACATTAGGTACTTTACATAAATGAACTAATTTGTGGTAAAATTGGTGCATTCTTTAGTTATTGTTTTCCTGCCAAAAAATGTTAGAAATAGATAACTCATTCGACCATGTAGCAGATTGTTGAGCACTAAAACCGTATTCTGAACTTTTTATGCAACTAAGACTGATTCAATCAATGGCCAAAGGTGAAGTGTTAATGGCTTGAAGACAAATAATTCTCTTATCGCCAAAACTAGTTTAACATATTCAACTAATATTAATGTGGTACCAAATTTGGCAAATCTGAAAAAATGCAAGTATATCTTGGTTCATACTAAGAGATGTCAATTCAATAAAGAAATGTTATGCAGGAAATGGTCACTTAAATATCAAAAATAATTGAGAGTTATGTTTAGTAATAGGTTTGCCCGAGTAAATATGTCAAAAACGGAGCCTTACATGAAGCTTCCCCAAACTTATATAAATTCAAAAGACCTGCTTTTAGGCAATAATGAAAATGCCATACCTTCTTAGCCATTCTATTTACATAACTTCTTTGTCCGTCACGCCCTACTGCTGATCACATTAGGTCACAAAACTTGAATATTCGCACATATATGAATTTTTAACCCCCCCCTGTAATCAACGTTCTACTTTTGGACCTGGTCGTAGCCAACCTGCTTGTATTTAGTCTTGTTTTGTTGGTTTTTCTGTGTTTATTAACTTAGAAAACAATGAATTTGAAAATATTGAATAATCATTGTCGTCATTGATATGCATATCTTGATTGAATAATATTTTTATAAAATTTTACGGCAAGATGCAACGTCTCCAAATACCGCTGCTTTTCATACCAAGATATGCATATCAATGACGACATGCTTGGATCAAATATGATTTTTCCACTTCTTGTAAAAAAATTTTTCAAAGGATTTATTGGAGGATTTTTCAAAGGAGGTAAATCGTTGAGCTTGTTTGGTATAGATGATATGCTTTAATTTCATATAACTTTGTTAGTCGATGCATTTTCTTTTGCAAAGATAATCCAACATCTTGACTTAACAAACTTAAAATTTACGACACTTGCAACGGCAGGATGAGATAATTAATATGCCCCTGTTGTGGGAATTTTTCCAAAGTTAATCTCGTTGCTTTAAATGGTTAAACTGTTTTTCGTTTTTTTATTAATGATGAAAATAATTCAAAATAGCAACCGTCGTGGGTACACGTCACACTTCATAATTCATAGTCCTATTAGCTATGTAAGAACTAGGTTTGATTTATATCATAAAAGCTGCCAAAGCAATCCCACTACCAGATTTAACTTTCTTTATGTGTGGTTCTGCTTGTAGCTCTTCGTGAGCAATCTTCTATCATGTACAGTAAATTATCGTTAATTAATGTATTATGTTGATAGAGTCATTCTTGTTGTCAAAAATCAAACGTTGTCTGTATGATTTACAAAAATATTTGTCTAAACGAGTCTATAAAGTTGTGTTAAAAATAAATTACTAATACATACAGTCCCAAAAATCACAGATCTCACTATACTCTCATTTGTTACAAAATTTATTTGACGCTTTAGATGTTGATTTGTTCATATCAAATACATGTATTAAAATTTTAGGACAATTATGTTTTTACATTCTCGTAAAATCAATTAAGAAATATTCAAACGCAATAAATTAAACAAAAAATTTCATATTTATTTATTACACATCTTTAAATTAGACATAAAATGGCTTAATTTATGGTACACATTTTCAAACAGCTTTATTGTGAAACATTAGATATGGGCGAATGTCAGTCTTCTCCTTGTGGCAAAGATAACTTATGCATAAATTACCCAGGCTCCTACGAATGCCTATGCTCCGTTGGTTACAATCTTGACAAATCCAAAAAGAAATGTATCGGTAAGTTGGTCTTTCTAGATTTTTTAACTTATATTGCAAGCTTACGTGACTTCATGAAAATTCTTTACTGTTGAATATTAGAATTATAATGTTTAAGTAACCATTTTAATATAACATAACCAAATACAACGTGCAGTGCAATAGAACAGAATAAGAATACTAAAGATATAGAATGTCAACAAGACAAAGAACCTAATATAAATATAAGTGTTAGTGCCAAAGTCCATGATCAATTATCCAATCATGTATCATCATTATTGATATGAAGTTCCTGTATCATATTAATCTAATAATACGTTTATATCCCAATACTCCCACTTAATGATTATACTTGATTCAGTTGAATGTTAATTGTTCTTTAATCTTGATAACGCCTAACATGTTCCTGAATTTCTGAAAAGTATCTTTACCAAGTCCTTTTGTAAATATATCCGCTAGCATATTCTCACTGGAACAATATTTAACAGAAATGATATTAAATGAAGATATGATCTTCGCACTTTGCTGGACAATTTAAGCAATCGTCTCAGGACCTGAAAAAATCAGGTGACTCAACGGGATTCGAACCCATGACCTCTGCGGTGCCGGTGCAGTGCTCTGACCAACTGAGCTATGAAGTCACACAGTGGTGAGCAGGTCAATATTGTTGGGCTCATGTTTTCTCGTAAAAGGAATGTCGTATGAATGTTTTATGCAGTGCGGTATTTGAAATTAAATGAAGATATGATCTTCACACTTTGCTGGACAATTTAAGCAATCGTCTCAGGACCTTAAAAAATCAGGTGACTCAACGGGATTCGAACCCATGACCTCTGCGGTGCCGGTGCAGTGCTCTGACCAACTGAGCTATGAAGTCACACAGTGGTGAGCAGGTCAGTATTGTTGGGCTCATGTTTTCTCGTGAAAGGAATGTCGTATGAATGTTTTATGCAGTGCGGTGTTTGCACTGCACCGGCACCACAGAGGTCATGGGTTCGAATCCCGTTGAGTCACCTGATTTTTTCAGGTCCTGAGACGATTGCTTAAATTGTCCAGCAAAGTGCGAACATCATATCTTCATTTAATTTCAAATACCGCACTGCATAAAACATTCATAAGAAATGATATTCTCATGAACTTTCTCTCTCACATAGTGGTATGCCACATCTATATGTTTTGTCCGAGAGTGGAATTTTGGATTTCTTGATAGCTCAATAGCCCCTTGGTTGTCTTCATAGATGATGGTAGGCTCTTGTTCCGTTATTGAGATACTATCCAGAAGTTTTCTCAACCAGACTCCTTCTTGGCATGCTGTACTTAAAGATACATACTCGGCTTCTGTTGTTGATCTTGCAACACATCCCAGTCTTTTGCTGCACCAACTCACGGTATTCCCATTAATTTGATATATGTACCCTGATCGACGTGTCACTATATCCCCACCCCAATCTGCATCTGTATATCTTGACAATATTGGATCATTGCCATCTGTGGTAAATTGTAGACCATAATCCAATGTACCTTGAATGTAACGTAGGATCCTTTTAACGCCTCTCCAATGCTCTAGTCCTGGTTTTGCATTTAAACTTTGATAAAGTTCCAACTGCAACAGCTAAATCGGGTCGACTTATCAATGTAGCATAGTTTAAGCATCCAATTGCCATTTGATATTGCTTCACATTAACTGGATTCTCACCTTCACTTAACACTTCATACTTCTTTCCAAATTCAAGTGGTGTTGAGAGTGCTTTACAATTTTGCATGTCGAATCTTTTCAGTATTCCTTCTGGATATTTCTCCTGATTAATGGTTAATGTTCGCAATGTTCGATTTCGTTTTATACTCGTCCCCAGCACATAATGAATCTCACCAAGATCTTCAACATGGAATCTATTTGCAATTCCCGGCTTTTCTTTTTCCAACATCTCAATAGAATTGGAGAAATGGAGCATGTCGTCAACATATATTGCGATTATGACAAAGTTAATCTTGCCATCTTTGGACTTTACGTATTTGACATATACGCAAGGATCTGCTGAACTTTTCTTGTACCCATTTGAAAGCAAATTTTTATCGATAGAGGCATTCCAGCACCTTGCAGCTTGCTTTAACCCATATATACTTTTATTAAGCTTGCAAACATATTCAGGATGATCTTTGTCAACAAAACCATCAGGCTGCCGTAAATAGATTTCTTCTTCTAATTCTCCTTGAAGAAATGCAGTTTTTACATCTGTTTGATGTATTTCCCAATCACACATGGTTGCCACAGCCAATACTGATCTGATGGTATTATATCTTGCCACTGGAGCAAACACATCTTCGTAATCTACTCCATATGATTGAGCATAACCTTGATCAACTAATCTTGCCTTAAATCGTTCAATTGAACCATCAGCTTTTCTTTTTACTTTGTAAACCCATTTACTCCCGATTACGTTTTTATTTTCTGGTAAAGGTACTAAATCCCAAGTATGATTATCTTTCAACGAATTGTATTCTGAGATCATCGCGTTCTTCCATTCATTCGCATGTTCTCCAGTTGTTGCTTCTTTTATATTGTTGGGTTCACTGATGTCTGCAGTTAAGTCGCTGACTGTGTAACATTCTTCGTCGAATTTTTGAGGTACTCTTCGTATCCTTTCACCTTTCAGTTATCTAACCTCATTAATGAATCTCTCTTCGTAAGAATTTTCTCCCACTCGATTGCAATCATCTACTTTTCTTGCATTAACGTTACCGTTTTCATGTTCAGCTTTTCGATCTTCTATTGATTGGCTTTCATCATTGCTATTTACAGGAACATCATGCACATTACGATTTTCTTCATCTTCAACGAGTTTTTGCTCACGCTGTTTGTTTTCAAAGTTATAAAATTGCTGCTCGAGAAACATAACGTAACGACTTTTATAAAAGTTCTTCGACATTGGATCAAACACCTTAAACCCTTTCGTCCCATCAGGATAGCCCATGAAAATCGTCTTAAGAGATTTTGCATCCAACTTTTTCCTTTGCTCTTTAGGAATGTGCATATATGTTATGCAGCCAAACACTTTCAGATTACTTACATCAGGTTTTATCCCAAATAGACACTGATAAGGAGTTATACCGTCCAAAGCAATTGTTGGACTTCTATTTCGAAGATAAGTTGCTGTATTTACAGCTTCAGCCCAGAATTTATTGGGTAGACGTGAGTGCATCAACATAATTCTTGCTGATTCCATTATCGTACGATTCATGTGTTCTGCAACTCCGTTTTGCTCTGGGTTATACGGAACAGTCGTTTGATATGTGATACCATTGTCCTTTAAAAACGACTCAAACTGTTTTGATTGATACTCACCACCGTTGTCTGTGCGTATAATCTTAACTTGCTTACCAGAAATATTCTTTGCATAGTTGAAAAACTCTTTAAACTTTTCCAAAACTTCGCTCTTGTTCTTCAAAAAGTATACTTGTACATATCTGGTGTAGTCATCGATAAAGGAGACATAATATCGAGATCCACCAATGGAATTCTCTTGAATCGGTCCACATACATCACTATGTATAATTTCGAACGGTTCCTTAGCTCGTTGTGAAACGCTTTTTGGAAAAGAGCAACGATGCTGTTTTCCCAACACACAAGCTTAACAAACTGATTTTCACCTGTTACATTGCCAAGTCCATCGACCATATCATTCTCGACGAGTTTCATTACATTGTTTATTCCAAGATGTCCCAATCTGCAATGCCATAAATTCAAATCTGAATCAAAGCTTTGTTCTTTTGCAACATTCATATAATGCTCGACAATTTTCAAAATGTACAGTTTTCCTTGTAGTTCTCCCACTGCTAACATATTTGAATTTCGTCGAATGTTACAAACATCGTTTTCGAAAGAAACAATAGCTCCAAGTCTTATCATCGCTCGAACAGATAGTAAATTTCTATTTATGTCAGGTAAATACAATACATCCTGCAAAGAGATGTTTTTGTTTCCGTCGCCAAGAATAGCTTTTACCTTTTAAGTTCCTTTGCCATACGCTAAAATAGAGCGGTTATCTCCAAGGTTTACTACACACGGTTGCTTAAACTCTACGTAATTGCATAAGCCTTTCAAATCGTAAGTCATGTGCTGCGTTGCACCGGAGTCGATAATCCAATCTGAATTCCTTGTAATGTTTGATGAATTTGAAATCAACGCATCACCATTATCGATCTCGCTATTTTCTTCGTTTTCTGCAAGCTGAGCAGACTTGTTTCCCTTGTTGATTGAAGATTTGCCACTGTTTGGAAACTGCTTCGTCTTCTTCTGCGGACAGTCTTTTGCTAGATGCCCTTTCTCTTCACAAATGATACACTTGCCACGAAAGCCTTTCTTTCGATTAAAAATGTTCTCATTCTGACCACCACGTTGTTTCCCACCTCGAAACTTGTTACGTTGCACGGAAAATGCATCCTCTTTTCTGGTCTCGGAATCTTTGGCTCTGTCTTCATCATTTAGTATCATGTTTTTCACTTTCTCATAAAAAAGTTCATTCTCACCAACAGCATCCAATGCCGTTATTAATGGCTTATATTTATCTGGCAAACTAGCCAACAGGGTCATTGCCAGTTCCTTATCATCGATACTCGCGACCATTTCTTTTAGTTGCTCGTGTAATGATTTTAAGTTGTTTATATGCTCCAACATATTCCCTCCAACATGAAATTTTGACGAATAATATTGCTGGCGAAGACGAACCTTTTGAAGTAACGATTCCCTGGCAAATTGACTTTTCAAAGCGTCCCATGCTTCCTTTGCCGTTATCGTTTCTCTCACGTGCACTTGCTGATCAGGCTCGATAGCCAAGCAAATATACGTCCATGCTTTTTTCGCGGAGGAATTGAATCTCCTTCGAACATCAGCACCGGCATCGTCGTTAGGAGCAATCGCAATACCTTCGGCGAATTCAAACAAGTCCATGCTTTCCAAATATAACCGCATATTGAAAGCCCATGACCGGTAGTTCGTGCCTTTCATATTTGCGAACTTAAGAGCGCTATCCGAAAAAGACATTGCTTAAATTTTAAATTACTTATCTTAAGTAGGACAGTTTGCGTCCTGGGCCCATAACCTATTAGAATTATAATGTAACCAAGTAACCATTTAAATATAACATAACGAAAAAAAACGTGCAGTGCAATAGAACAGAATAAGAATACTAAAGTTATAAAATGTCAACAAGACAAAGAAACAAATATAAATATAAGTGTTAGCGCCAAAGTCCATGATCAATTATCCAATCATGTGTCATCATTAGAGATATGAAGTTCCGGTATCATATTACTGTAATAATACGTTTATATCCCAATATTGAAAACTGCTTGAACTGTTAAAATTTGGGAAATGCTTGACAAGATCTTTTGTTCAAATGCACTAATTATTAGCTAACTCAAGAAGGGCGTTTCTCGAAAGTCTCTGCTGATTAAGTGAATTAAAAGCTAAATAGATAACAATTCGTGGTTTATGTTACATTAGAACTGACTTAAGCTTGTTTAAAGTAAGCATTTTATGTGAAACCAACATAAAGTTGGCATTAACTTAATTAGAATTCAATTTATAAGTAAAGACAGGGAAAAGTGGTTCTGATTGGTCAATAGCTGTGTTCTCATTAGTCTATGCAAAACAGATATGAATTCAACCAATCAAATTAATCAAATTGCAAATCGGTCATAAATGCATTTTAGGGGTAAAGTTAAAACGTCTGTTTTCAATTTGTCTGTTTCACTTTATTGTTGCCTTATAAAAGAAATAAATGATGTTTTCGTATTTGCACTGGCTTATGCAAACCTTAAAGACGTTTTGTGAGAACTTTCAAATTCTCGATCAGCTCTCAAGCTCTAACTTCCAAAGGTCTCCTCGGGGATGGCATAAGCCTGTGCAAACACATTAAGCAACTTTTATTTCTTAACTAAAGGCCACGTAATTGTTTATATTATTCTTAAGTTGTTGGTTTAAAATAAGTCATCTGTCATTTGAGTTATTGCATATGGTCAAAAAATTATGTGTAGTGCAAAAACGCAATTGCCATTTCTCATGTAGCTATTGATGAAAAGGCTAATTAATTATTTTAAATAAAGTTTATCAATCCATCAACAATGACAACAGCAAGCACATAAAAAGAACGTAGATTTGAGATATAGTAGGTTTAGTATTGAATTTTCAATTGAATTACTCTTATTGCAGCATTTTCCCCTGAATTTGAGAACAATTAGTTGTTGTTACATTTCCTTATAACTTTAAAATTTCTGACAAAAATCATCTGTGGGGTAGATCATCTTTGATCTACTATCTCCCTGAGACTTCTGTTGAATATGAAAATCTTTTAGTTTATGAAGTACCATCGAGTGGGCAATCAGTTTGAAATCAGTATAACGGAAACAATATTGTCCATAGTAATATTAGTTTTGACTATATTAGCTATCCGTCAGTGGAATTTACAAAAACTTTATAAAGTCTGCCTCGCCCTGACATCAAAAATTGTTGGTCAAGTGATTCTAAGAATTTTTTTGTAATAGTAGTCTCAACATTTTTGATTTATACCAGGTGATATGTTTCATATATGATACAAATGGTGTATGATATATGATGAATGAGTATTTTGGTGTGAATTTACTGAATTTTGTCCGTATTCTAAAACTTCAATCAAACTCATACTCAATTATTGCAACACAGAAATCCCGCTCCTACCAAGTAATGGCAATTTAATGTATTCAACAACGGCATGTTTTTTGCCAAAATATTTCAAATCATAGCTACGCTTAAAAATTTGGGAGGGGATTTTGAAACTTCATTCTGTGTGTGTGGTTAGGGGTAAGCCTTTAAAAAACAGGCATTTGTCATGCTGTTTATTTCAAGTTAGTACAGCTTTTTTGACTTTTTATTATTATAGATGCCAACGAATGTCAGTCTTCTCCTTGTGGCAAAGATCATTCATGCATAAATATCCCAGGCTCCTACGAATGTCGATGCTCCACTGGATACAAACTTGACAAATCCAAAAAGAAATGTATCGGTAAGTTGGTCTTTCTAGATCCTTTAACTTATGTTGCAAGATTACGTGACTTGATGAAAGTTCTTTGAAAACTGCTTGAACTATTAAAATATGGGAAATGATTGACAAGATCTTGTGTTCAAATGCAAAAATTATTAGCTAACTCAAGAAGGGTGTTTCTCGAAAGTCTCTGCTGATTAAGTGAATTAAAAGCTAAATAGATAATAATTAGTGGTTTATGTTACATTAGAACTGACTTAAGCTTGTTTAAAGTGAGCATTTTATGTGAAACCAACATAAAGTTGGCATTTACTTAATAAGAATTCAATTTATAAGTAAACACAGTGAAATGTGTTTCTGATTGGTCAATAGCTGTGTTTTCATTAGTCTGTGCAAAACAGATACGAATTTAACCAATCAAATCAATCAAATTGCAAATCGATCAGAAATGCATTTTAGGGGTAAAGTTAAAAAGTCTGTTTTCAATTTGTCTGTTTCACTTTATTGTTGCTTTATAAAAGAAATAAATGATGTCTTCGTGTTTGCACTGGCTAATGCAAACCTAAGAGACGTTTTGTGAGAACTTTCAAATTCTCGATCAGCTCTCAAAGCTCTAACTTCCAAAGGTCTCCTCGGGGATGGCATAACCCTGTGCAAATACATTAAACAACTTTTATTTCTTAACTAAAGGCCACGTCAATGTTTATGATATTCTTAGGTTATTGGTTTAAAATATGTCATCTGTAATTTGTGTTAACACATATGGTCAAAAAATTATGTGTAGTGCAAAAGTGCAATTGCTATTTTTCATGTAGCTATTGCTGAAAAGGCTAATTAATGAGTTTAAATAAAGTTTATCAATCAATCAACAATGACAACAGCAAGCACATAAAAAGAAAGTAGATTGGAGATATAGTAGGTTTAGTATTGAATTTTCAATTGAATTACTCTTATTGCAGCATTTCCCCTGAATTTAAGAACAATTAGTTGTTGTTACATTTCCTTATAACTTTAAAATTTCTGAGAAAAATCATCTGTGGGGGAGATCATTTCTGATCAACCATCTCCCTGAGATTTCCGTTTAATATAAAAATCTTTTACTTTATCAAGTACCATCGAGTAGGCAATCAGTTTGAAATCAATATAACGGAAACAATATTGTCCATAGTAATATTAGTTTTGATTATATTAGCTACCCGTCAGTGGAATTTACAAAAACTTTATAAAGTCTGCCTGACCCTGACATCAAAAAATGTTGGCAAGTGATTCTAAGAATTTTTTTGTGATAGTAGTCTCAACGTTTTTGATGTATACAAGGTGATATGTTTCATATATGATATAAATGGTGTAAGATATATGATGAATGAGTATTTTTCTGTGAATTTACTGAATTTTGCCTGTATTCTAAAACTTCAATCACACTCATACTCAATGTTGCAACACAGAAATCACGCACCTACCAAGTAATGGCAATTCAACAATGGCATGTTTTTTTGCCAAAATATTTCAATTTATAGCTACGCCATGAAAATTTGCGATTGGATTTTGAAACTTCATTTTGTGTGGTGGTTAGGGTAAGCCTTTAAAAAACAGGCATTTGTTTTGCTGTTTATTTCAAGTTATTGCAGCTTTTTTGACTTTTTATTATAATAGATATCAACAATTGCGAGTCTTCGCCTTGTCGCCCCTTCTGCTCTTGCTGTAATACTCCAGGCTCATACATTTGCTATTTGGGTGATTGTCGGGGTATTAACGTTGGTAAGTTTTTATAAATGCTCTATGACAAATGTTTTACTATCAAAACCGATAAAAGAGATTCCTGCAAAATATACACAAAACACTGAAGCGTTAAAATTTAACTGGTCTATGTAAGGTAGATGGCTACATTTTATCGGCAAATGAAGCATGTTGAAGTTCTAAAGTTCATCGTAAAAATTTTTCTTTGTATTTTTTTTCAAGGTGATGTGTGGCGATATTGTTACCATTAGTGATGTTGCCAAAAAATATAAAAAGGTTATACAAAGGTGAATTTAAAATTTTTCTTACGAGGTTCATGTATGAAATTAAGAACCTCATAGAATTTTTACTAAATTTCACGAAATAATTTCAATTCATTTTTTCATTTATGCAAACGAAGCGATATTTTTTGATTTCCCGCAATCTGATTGGATGCAGCAGCGGTCATCTTTTTACGATACCTAAATTATAATCTAAAAGTGATATTTTACCAATAAGTTGGTTGCAAAGCGAAATTTAAATTTCTAAAATTGATTTAAAAGCGATGTAAACTGTTAAGCGATGAAGCACAGTGTATTCAGATGAAAGTCATCATAGCAAGACCAAATTTTACTGTCCTGAAGAAGTAAAATTTGTAGAAAAAAAATCCAATTTTCTTTTCAATATCAAGCTGTGTCGGTTATTTTACAACGCAAATTTCTTTATAATAAAAATTAAAAAAATATGTTATTTACCGTTTAGGTCGGTCTTTACGGAAAAAATATTTTCACAAGGTCTTAAAGGCTCTGGTAAATAATATACATTTATTTTTATTTAGCGGTCCAAAGCGATATTTTTTTGATTTCCAGCAATTTGATTGGCTGCGTGAGCGGATAGCTTTTTACGCATATCTGCCCGTGGGCACAAATGATACTTTTTTGCAATGTTTTTGCTTGCGAATTGAAATGTAAATTTTTAAATATGATTTAAAAGCGATGTAAATTGTTGAACGAGTAGGCAGAATGTCATAAGATGATATTTATCATAGCCAGAGTGAGTTTTACTATCCAGACGAAACAAAGTTTGTAGAAAATCCAATTTTAGTCTCAACATATTTTTTGCAATGTATTTGTTTACGAAGTGAAATGCAAATTTTAAAAAATTGATTTGAAAGCGATGTAAATTGTTTAACGAGTAAGCAAGGTGTATTCAGATGAAAGATGTCGTTGCAAGAGTGCATTTTACTGTCCAGACAAAGCGAAGTTTGCTGAAAAGCATCCAATTTTAGTCACAACATTAAGTTGAAGACCTTGTGAAAATATTTTTTGGTATACGGACCTCCCAGCCGGTAAATACGTATTATACAGGTGCGGATCCATGGGGTATCCAATGTGGCACTGGAAACGGTCAGAATTCGACAAAAAACCTTGAAATTCAGACATTAAACATATATTTTCTTAGTTTATTCAGTTTATTGAGTCTATTTTTTAACCAAAAACACTAAAAAAAAGACACATGAAATGCACTTGTTGACGTACTCGAAATTCGCATTTAAGCGACAGATTTTATAAATCATCGTATTATTACGCCGTTTAGATTTGCCTAATGTAATCCGATTGTCCTACAAAACGTAACTCGATTGCTGTTCGGAGTCCAGTTTTGCTGCTACAGTAGTATACAGAGCGTTACCGCTGGCGCTATTCACCTTGAGAAAGCGTTGCCGCTGGCGCACTTCACCTTGAGAAAGCGTCGTTTCTAGCACCCCTCACAGTTTGAGGAGGAGTATACACAAATCTAAGCGCCCCAGCCCTAGCTCGCTTACGTACTTCTTGTAATTATACTAGCATAATTACAGCGAAGGTCAAACCCAGGACAACAGCAGGAGCCAAAGACGGCGCTGCCGGCAGCCAGGGGTCTAATATTTAGAGAGATATACTCTCATAGAGTAATCCAAATGTTCGACAGGCAAGAGGCAGGCAAGAACAAGTGTGCGTGGTTTCTACACGGAAAGCTCACCACATGTGGGCGAAGCTCCATAGGGGAATACTGTTGACTTCATATGAAGCGATTAAGGGAAGGCGGGCGACTTCCACAACCATGTCGTAAGTGGGGCGTCGGAACACAGGCAGAAACTATCGTTTGTCAAGCCTTCGGTGGAGATAGGGTGCATCATAAGCTCGTTTATAAACAGAAACAAGCAAGAAAGAGATTTGCTAGAGTGCTCGCCGAATTAATTTCGATTTAGAGAATCATCTCGCGTAAGATATAGCACTAAAATTTGAGAGACTTGAGATGAATACTGTCGAGAAACATCTGCAACTATATGACCAAGACGTAATCAGCGGACACGCACTGAACGCCTGTCTTAAGGCTCTTCAACCGCCCGCTAACCAGACACCCACTCCAAGAAATGTCATTCCGCCTATCCCAAAACCGCCCAAGCGCATGCCTTTGCTAAAACCACGCAAGCGCAGGCCCGCCGAGCCTACTGATGAGGAGATGAACGCATACATCAATGAGCTTCTGGTTGAATTTAAGCCACGACGCCCTACAAGGGCTACTCCCCCACCACCTACAGAACTTAAGTGGGATGAAACGAAGAACTTCAGCTATCATCTGAGAGCCTGGAAAATGCAGGTGCCGAAGGGGCACCCCTCCGAACGCAACTTGATGGCTATCCTCAAAAACGCCCAAGCCTGCATCAAACGCAAACTCGTCGAGGAACTATTAACTCTACGAGGAGTTAAGTTACAGTTGGCTGTAGAGGTTGAGCTTCGGAACGATGAAGCAAATGGTACTGAAGTGCTTCAAGGACCAGTGTTCCGGACAAAGCAGATCACGCTGCCACAGGCGCATGAGATTCCGCAAGCCCTACATGAAGCCTTCCCAACAATCCAGGAGAGATTGGTAAAGTTCACTCGGGAAGGGTCTTGTGGATAGTGGGTCGTGTCAAAACACTCTGGCTTGACATCGCTCACTATCAGCCTTTACGCTTAGACTCATGCCTTCCTCTCTTCACCGTGGTCAAGAATAAGAAGGCAATCGTCAACGTGAAAAACAAAGACGATGACTGCCTCCGCTGGTCTCTAAGGGCTGCGCTGTTTCCTGCAGCTAAAGACCCGAAACGGCCGGGCAAGTATCCCACTGAAGACGGTCTTGACTTCATGGGAGTGAGCGCACCCACACCACTCTCCCAGCTCGAACGAGTAGAACGTGAGAACGACCTTGCTATCAACGTGTACGAGTGGGAAGGCAGCGTCGTTCCTTGCCTTCTAAGCAAAGTAGAGAGAGCTCGCAAGACTGGGAATATCTTCCTCGTCTCGGATTCAAAAATTCCTGAAAAACACCCCTACACTTGGATCAAGAACTTCAACCGCCTTCTCAAGCAGAGTGGCCATCATCAGCTGCACTTCTTTGAGCGTTCTTCATGGCTTCACCAGGCAGGATTTGTTGGAAGAGCATAAGCTTGAATGTCAAGGCATCAACCAGGCCGCGGTTGCCATCAGAATGCCAACCCTTCATAATCTACGCAGACTTCGAGAACCTGGTTTGTAAGATCGAGGGCCCCGTGCTTAACCCCGAGAAGAGCGGCACCCAGCAAACTTCTAAAAACGAGACATGCGTCTACTCATCCACAGTCGTTCGATCGGATAGCGAAACTAAGCCGCCGCAGCTCTACCGAGGGCCCGACGGGGCCAAGCATGTCCTGGAAGCGCTCCAAGAAGAAGAGCGCAAGATAAAGACGCTGTTGTCTAACCACGAGCCTATGCACATGACAGGAAAGGACTGGGGGAGCCGCAAGGAAGCCACAAATTGCCACGTCTGCAGCAAGCCCCTTGAACGAAATTCCGTGCGAGACCACTGCCACATTACTGGCAAGTACTGAGGTGCGGCCCACAATGAGTGCAACCTGAAGTTGCGGCTCAGCCCGAAGACGACAACCATACAAGTTGTCTTTCACAACCTGCGGGGCTACGACAGCCATCTCATCAAGCAGACTATCGCAAAGACTGAAAGGAAGGTCACCTGCATCTCCAACAACGACAGCACCCCGTTTATACTCTCAAGCCTGGATGGCTTGGTGAAAGACAGAGACCTGCAAGACATGCGCATCACAGCAGACTACGAGCCGAACCTCCAGAGGCATACCTCTTGCTCCGGAAGGGGGTCTACCCCTACGAGTACAAAGACAGCTGACCCCGATTCGACGAGGACGCCCTCCCGCCGAAGGAGGCTTTCTACAGCAAGCTCACCGGCGAAGGCATCACCGACGGTGACTACGCCTACGGAAAAAGGGTCTGGCACGCCTTCGGATACACAACCTTCGGCGACTACCATGACCTCTACCTTTGGACCGGTGTCCTCCTCCTCGCTGACGTCTTCGAGAACTTCCGAAAGCCGTGCCTCGAGCGATACCGGCTAGACCCGGCCCACTATTACACGAGCCCGGGCCTAAGCTTGGACGCTCTACTCAAACACACAGGTGTGCAGCTCGAGCTGCTTACCGACATTGACATGCATCTCTTCATTTAGGAGGGCCTGCGCGGTGGCATCAGCATGGCCAGCAGGCGCTTCGCCAAGGCCAACAACACCAAGGTGCCAGACTACGATCCGGGGAAGCTCCAAATCTGGATCCAGTACTACGACGCAAACAACCTGCACGGCTGGTTCATGTCGCAGCCGCTGCCGACAGGCGCGTTCCAGTGAGTCGGCCAAGAGGATGTGAAAGCGGCCCTGAACCAGCCTGTAGATGCAGAGAAGGCCTACATTCTCGAAGTCGATCTAAAGTACCCAGAAGAGGGTACTGCACGACGAGCACAATTCATATCCGTTAGCGCCAGAACACCTGAAGGTCGACAACGCGTGGATGTCGGATTACCAGCAAAATCTCCCCAAACAGATGTATGGGGGTGCGTCGCACGAGTTCGAAAAGCTGGTCTCCAATCTGCGCGACAAGGCCCGATAAGTCTTGCACTATCGGAATCTGCAGCTCTATCTGCAGCTTGGCATGCGTCTGAAAAAGATCCACAGAGCGCTCCGCTTCGATCAAAGCCCATGGATGGAGCCCTACATCCGTAAAAATACCGAACTCCGGAAGAAGGCGAAGAGTGACTTTGGAGTCAACCTCTACAAGCTGCTGAACAACAGCGTCTTCGGCAAGACGATGGAGAACCTCCGAAAGCGTGTCGTTGTGAAGTTCTCCGGCCAAGCGAGACCGAGAGACTCTGCAAACTTATCGTCAAGCCGACATGCAATCGGCCTCTCATCTTTGGAGATGCGGGAGACCTCGCAGCCTTTCACATGAATAAAAGCAGTCTGCTGCTCAACCGGCCTGTCTTCGTGGGCATGAGCATTCTCGACCTCTCGAAGCATCTGATGTACGACTGGTACTACAACCATCTAAAGGTGTAGTACAGGTCGTCAGCAGAGCTCCTCTACACCGACACTTACAGCCTTGTCCAGGAGATCCAGACTGAGAACGTGTACACCGACATGAGACGCAACGCCGGTTAGTACGACACCAGCAACTACCCCAAAGACCATCCGCTGCTCAGCACAGCCAACAAGAAGGTGCTGGGGAAATTGAAGGACGAGTGCGCTGATGCGTCTATTGCTGAGTTTGTGGGGCTCAGGCCCAAGATGTACTCTACCCTGAAAGCCGGTGGTCTGGAGGAGCGCAAAGACAAAGGTGTTAAAAAGGCCGTCATGAAAAAGCATATCAGACATGCCCAGTACATTAAGGCGCTATTTGAAGCAAAGCGCTTCCGCCACGTTATGGATATGCTGCGCAGTCGCGGGCATCAGATCTTCGGCGAGCATGTCAACAAGACACCGTTGATCCCGCTGGACACGAAGCGCTAGATCGCAGCCGATGGGATCTCTACCCTAGCATACGGGCATAGCAAAGCCAGTGCCGCAGGCGAATAAATAATAAATGCGTAATTATGCTGATAATTAGTTCTGATGTGATAATTACAGTAGAAGAGCTGCTCTACGGCTAAGTGTAAGGTAGTACCTGGTAGTGAAAGCTATCATAAAAAGCGTTACAGGACCCCATCGACTAAGCCGGCAGCGTTTCGGTCCAAAAGGGCACCACTTGGAGCTCCTCGCGTACCATCGCGCGCTTGGGCCCATCACTCAAATAATACAACACAGGCTTCCCACCCTCAAACACAGCCCACTCGACCTGATGGGAGGTCACACTCCATAAAGGATCGGTCGCCCTACGCCGTTCGACACCCTTAAGTTCGCCAAGCGCATACAAATACCGCACTATAACATCCGATGGCAAGCGTCGCTCTTTGAAACCAATTGGACGAAGCACCAGCGCAGCGGGTTTGGCCTTAACGCTCTTCTTCCGACTTACAAGGGAGGGCTTTTTGCCTGTCAAACGGGTAGTTTCATTGTTGAGCGCTTTAACCACCTCAGTTAATCTTGAAACCCCATTCTTTGTTCCGAGTTCCGGGTTCAGTCAGCTCGCGATGATACTGGTAACCGAACAATCACTCCGCCAAAGTTCGGTTAGATCTTTCTACGATCCCCTGATCTCGATCAAATCCAACCTAACCCCGTCGAATCGTGACACCATTTTTATCACACGCTTTTTGCACAGCCCCGCGAAACTCCGAACCAGGTTCGATTTGTAAAACTTTAGGCCTTCGAACAGGCCCACGGGCATAAATAGACTCTAACGCCTTCCCAACCTGAGTCGCTGTCTTGTCTGTGATTGCCTTGGCCTCCTTATACCGTTTTTCTACGTAGACGACCGTCAATGGGTATTTGAATGTGCGTCTTCCGACTCGATCATGAGGAAGATACAAGAGATCGGCCTGGTGGACCTTATTCGGGGTGCTGATGTCAGTTTTAGGTCGGGGGAGGGCACTTTACGCTGGTGCGGGAAAGTAGATCTGCCAGATGGCCTGTTAGCCATTCATGAGCCTCATCCTCGCCGACGCCAGTATCTTTTGCCAGCTTTGGGATAGCAACAATACCGCGCCAGTACCCTGCAGGACTGTAGTACGCCTCTGCGAGGCGTTCTTCAACGCTTCCGTCCGTAGAAACGATTATTTTTCCTCCATTACGACGAGATTCTTTGGGAAAGAAACCTAGAAACAGCACTACCACATACACCAGAGCGCCCTGCAAGTCTGGGGTTGCCGTTATGATTTACAACTATACCACTTATAACTGGTTGCAGTCTTTTGCAACGCATACAAAACGCGACCGTCATTTTCACTTGACTATGTTTTAGTTTGATGTGTTGGATGGGGCATTTACAGAAGGATGAGGGCATTTACATGTTTTCAAAATGCATTTGCTTTGTGTTTGTCTGATACTTTAGCGTTATATAAGTCTTTCGTATGAGCTCCGAACGTGAGTTCAATGTACTAGAACGCTATTAAATTTTGTGATGATTTTATTCATTAGCGAAGAAGTTATTTACAACAGTCGTGAGTATTCTAATTTTTACAATTTATTTACAGGCTTTTTATATATTTGGCTAAAAAAGGTGCAGTTATTACAAGGCGGATAAAATACTTAAAATTTCAGTAGTTTTACGTAATAATAAAGTTAAGTGCGTAAGTTTAAGTAGCACGATTGAGTAAGTGTAAGATTGGCTATTTTCCCTATTGCTAATACATAAATCTAGATGAATAATATACGCACGTTATGTACGTCCCTACATTACTTCCCTTTCAGTATGTGAATAGCACAGCCATATTGCAGCAGCTTTGGGAGAAGCTAAGAATAATGCACACAGTTTTATGTATTCATGAATGATGTGTATGTTTTCATTGGTATCTGTTACATCCTGCATTATTAAATCATACTACCCTATTGCAAATGATTGTTTACCAGATTGGTATTCTCTTTGAACATTGCTTGCATTATCATGTTCCATGTATACTACTTCTTGCACACAGGAAGAAAGATGATGCATTAATTTTTTGTAGTGTATTGTATTGTTCTTTTTATTTTCATTGCAAAAAATGACGTGCTTCATCTTTCTATTGCTACCAAGGAACAATACTATGAATCTATGATTATGAGAATGGATTAAACTGTTTTGATTTATGGTAAGACTTGGCAAACACAAGTAGTAATCACAGACAAAATTTAAAACTGGCCAAAATTTGCGGATTTTTTTCCTGTTCAGATCATGGATAGGGTTTTCCTATATTCCTTCATATATACTGAAAGCAGAAAATCGCTTTTCTGAGAGTTAAATTTTATAACATATTATAGGGTATGACGAAAGATCCTAGTGATGGGGAATCATGTTAAAGAAATACACTAAAAACTTAATTCTAATCGAAGATGCTTTTTGTAGAATGTGTCGTGGAAAATTTAAAAGCTTATGTAGAAAATGCTGTGTGTTTGACATTTTTATCCTTTGTTGAAATGTATCTGTAATACAAAACTACGTGTAACAAGTTGTAATCAACCATATCATATAAAGTAAATGAACATATTATCATAATGTATAAAAAAAGTAAAATGATGAAGTTTTATTGCTGATAAGAATAAAATATTATTGACAAATCAAATGATTTACTGAATTACATTATCTTTGATAATTTACAAATCAAGCCGTAAGATTTTTTTAAGTTACACAAAGTTATTGCGTGGATTCCGCGAGACAATGCTGGTTATTGCATTAAAATAGATGACCACCAACCAGAGATGACCATGATTGCATTAAAATAAAATTAATAAAATCTTTTTGTGATGTGTTTCCAAAGGAGAGGCAAATCTCGACATACTTTGTAATTAAAAGAAATCTTGAAAAAATCAACCTATTGTAAATCTTGATATTCAGTTTTTCCGTTGGGACCTGTTAATCCTTTGGTTAATTTACCAATAAATTGATGCATTGTAGCAATCAGAAATGTCTGGAGTATGATATCGAAATAAAATTTAAGAATCATTTTGTCTCACTCAAAATGGATGACGATTTTAGAAAATGACGTCAGATATTGCATTCATGAATTATTATGTTTCTAATCATTTATGATTTATCAAACATCAAGCACAGCATAAAGTACCATTTCTTCAATTTCAATGCTTATGATCGTACAATGAATGCAAATTATAAATTATTAATGAAAACATTTCATTTTTTTTGAAATTTTCCTTAGTGCAGACTACAGCTAAAATGAAATGTTAATCTTTCTCATGACATGTATCAGTGAAGAACAGGTGAGCTATTTATAACTTCACTGTCATTAAGGTTATCTTTAGTTAGGTGTTTACATTTGACCTACTATCAATATTATTTTACTTTAAATATTTATAATTTTTATTAAAAATATTTATAGCACAAATCATTTACCGTCATCACTTTTCACCCACAGTTAAATAATACCAACAATACGTACAATGATTCGTTTGCAGTTAAGTTTGTATTTTACTATAAAAACAGATCTTAGCTCAATCAACCAACTCAGTTACCGTATTTACAGGTATAAGAAAGTGCGGCGCTCTTCAAATATTTGTTACTTTAGATGCGGCGCATATTCGGGAGACATGCTTAATCAAGGTAGGTACTCTTTAAAACGAGCTTTCAACTGTGTATTGTGTGTTGTAACAACAACACCTAACAAAAATTTTCCATGGATGTTTTAAAAATTTCGTGTAAAAGAAATCATGTCACAGCAAAATAACATGTAATGAAATTGAATATTTAATTTAATGACGTAGAAACGATAGTGTTAATCACGCCCGTAAAATGACCACTATTGTGTTTCATAGTTTCATCCGTGCCAGCAAATGTTTGTAACGATGGAAAACATCAAGGAAGAAAATTCAGAACGTTCTTTACTCCATACAGGCATAGACGTTTTTAAAAGCATTTTTATATTCGATTGCAATGAATGTAATCAAACTTACCGTATAAGGACACCCTTGTGATCATGACTTGATGTGTTTTTGTCGGAGGTGTCCGCTTATGAGATGCTGGTTGATTATTACGAAATCATAAAAAATGTTTAAATATGATTGCTTTGACTGTGTTTTTAAAAATGATTATATTCTTGATAACTATTAAAAGGTCCAACATGTGTACCGTGAAATGTGTGAGTCCATAGACTTTATCAAACAACAAATTTATTATGTATATTGTCATTGTATAGACACAATGCTTATAGTTTACATGGCATGAAAAAATTATGTCTACCTTTATTTCTACCTTTTTGTCTACTCTATGTCCCAGTCGTTGAACCAAGCATCCACGCCATAATCTTCTTTCTTTATCTTTTTAAAGAACGCCATCATGCTTACATGTTGATATATATAGAATTTACATAGTGATAGAGTAGAATTAAATTAAAGTTTACTTCATCTAAAGGTGAGACAGTGGAGGTAGGTTAGTATAGAAGTAAGGCACTGTAGGTCATGGTCATAGTAGGACAGTGAAGGACGGAGAGTAAAATTAAATTAAAGTTTACCTCATCTAAAGGTTAGACAGTGGAGGTAGGTTATTATAGAAGTAAGTCACTGAGGGTCATGGTGATAGTAGGACAGTGAAGGACGGAGAGTAAAATTAAATTAAAGTTTACCTCATCTAAAGGTGAGACAGTGGAGGTAGGTTAGTATAGAAGTAAGGCACTGTAAGTCATGGTGATAGTAGGACAATGAAGGAAGGAGAGTAAAATTAAAGTTAACCTCGTCTAAAGATGAGACAGTGGAGGTAGGTTAGTATAGAAGTAAGTCACTGTAGGTCATGGTGATAGTAGGACAGTGAAGGAAGGAGAGTAAAATTAATTTAAAGTTAACCTCGTCAAAAGATGAGACAGTGGAGGTAGGTTAGTATAGAAGTAATGCACTGTAGGTCATGGTGATAGTAGGACAGTGAAGGACGGAGAGTAAAATTAAATTAAAGTTAACCTCGTCTAAAGATGAGACAGTGGAGGTAGGTTAGTATAGAAGTAAGTCACTGTAGGTCATGGCGATAGTAGGACAGTGAAGGACGGAGAGTAGAATTAAATTAAAGTTAACCTCGTCTAAAGACGAGACAGTGGAGGTAGGTTAGTATAGAAGTAAGGCACTGTAAGTCATGGTGATAGTAGGACAGTGAAGGAAGGAGAGTAAAATTAATTTAAAGTTAACCTCGTCAAAAGATGAGACAGTGGAGGTAGGTTAGTATAGAAGTAAGGCACTGTAGGTCATGGTGATAGTAGGACAGTGAAGGACGGAGAGTAGAATTAAATTAAAGTTTACTTCATCTAAAGGTTAGATAGTGGAGGTAGGTTAGTATAGAAGTAAGGCACTGTAGGTCATGGCGATAGTAGGACAGTGAAGGACGGAGAGTAGAATTAAATTAAAGTTAACCTCGTCAAAAGATAAGACAGTGGAGGTAGGTTAGTATAGAAGTAAGGCACTGTAGGTCATGGTGAAAGTAGGACAATGAAGGACGGAGAGTAGAATTAAATTAAAGTTAACCTCGTCTAAAGACGAGACAGTGAAGGTAGGTTAGTATAGAAGACATAGGAGGTCAGCTCGTATATAAAGCTATAGGACATTGGAAGTAGAAAAATAAAAGTAAAACATTAACCTGTTATGAACTTTTGATTATATTTATTTGTGAACTTTATCTCTACGTAAGTACTTACATTAGAAATCAGCCTGAATATAAAGCTAGGACATTGGAAGTAGAAAAGTAAATGTAAGATATTACTTATTATGAACTTTTGATCATATTTATTTATGAGCTTTACTCCTACGTAAGTACTACATCAGTTACATACACGCTTATTATGTAATACAAATGTAAGTCTGTGGAATTACATATAATAAAGCAAATTAATCTACTAACACTACAAACGGGCACTAACAACTTATAGTTTAAATGTTAGGTTGGTTTATACGATGTGGATTATTTTGGTATTTTGGTATACAAGTGAAGGGACTAAAACTATTGTTAACATTTTTTTCCTTTAATGAGTGTTTCTTAGCATACTTTCTGTGCTTTCGCCTGTACTTTACAATATCGATTATTTTTCCCTTGATCAGATCAATGCTCACGAGCGTATTGTATTTCATTAGTTCATGCAATCTTTCGAACGTTTTGGGCTTGTATTCAAATTTGAAGGAGGAATAAGGCTCATCGGGGTCGTCAAAAATGTCAAAGTTTGCAAACTCTATGTCGTCATCTTTCTCTCTCTTCACACCTTCAAAAAAAAAACCCCATTGTTTTGATGGATCAATATTGTGTAGTATAAATCATAAAAGGTTCAAAATTAGTTTAAGTTAATAAGAGCGTCGATTTCACCATGCTTTTGACAACATGACTGGAACATTCAAATACATGTACAAACATTCAAATGTCCGTTTTTGTAGTGTGCATTTTTAAAACTTACGGCAGATAATCTGATTGGTCAATTTTTTATTTAGTTTTATACTAAACAATCAGATCATTTTCCACAAGTTTGAAGGAACTACAAAACAAGCATTTATATTTGTAAAAATATTTAAATGTTCAAATGAATATTGTAAAATTTCGAAAGAAAGGTGAAATCAACTTTAATAGTAAATTTTGGGTTGAATAAACGTCAATTTGCCATTGGGAAGATACTTTCTTTACGTTTGACACATGGAAGATACTTCCTTTACGTGTGACATATGGAAGATACTTCCTTTACGTGTGACATATGGAAGATACTTCCTTTACGTGTGACACATGGAAGATACTTCCTTTACGTGTGACATATGGAAGATACTTCCTTTACGTGTGACATATGGAAGATACTTCCTTTACGTGTGACATATGGAAGATACTTCCTTTACGTGTGACACATGGAAGATACTTCCTTTACGTGTGACATATGGAAGATACTTCATTACGTGTGACACATGGAAGATACTTCCTTTACGTGTGACATATGGAAGATACTTCCTTTACGTGTGACACATGGAAGATACTTCCTTTACGTGTGACATATGGAAGATACTTCCTTTACGTGTGACATATGGAAGATACTTCCTTTACGTGTGACACATGGAAGATACTTCCTTTACGTGTGACATATGGAAGATACTTCCTTTACGTGTGACATATGGAAGATACATCTTTTACGTGTGACACATAGAAGATACTTCCTTTACGTGTGACATGGAAGATACTTCTTTTACGTGTGATACATGGAAGATACTTCCTTCACATGTGATACACGGAAGATACTTCCTTACTTGAGATAATTGCATTAAAAGGCACATCCGTATGTTAAGCATTTATTCACCTGGGCTAAGATACTCTCGAAATGAGTTGTTTACAACTGGAAAATGTAAAATTATTGGGCAGTTCGGATCATTTTCATCTTCAAATACATAACATTCACGAATTTCAGAATCTTTGACCTCTGAATCTTTGACCACCGGATTATCCTTAATATTTGGAAAGGGATATTTATTTTCTCTTGCCCATTTCTCTGCTTTCAACAGTTCCTGGATAAAAGAAGGAAAAGCATAGGTTCTACATGTTAAAGATAGCACCTTTTTGTAATAGCCATGGTTTTAAAACTAGGTGCAACTTTCTCCCAACAGATTAGATCATTCCTGTTTAATCCAACTTTCCGACGGTAGACACAGATGTCAAAAATACGAGATCAAATTAAAAAATTTGGACAATCAAATAGTCGAACGTAGTATTGTTTATGCATAGAATAATGGCAAAAAAATGTGGCTAAAATGGTCAGGAGATGATTTTGAGTTTTAGGGCATTCGTGAATCGTATAATAGTTATTCAGAACGATTATTTATAAAGGCAGAAGGCATAACAGTAAATATTAATTGTTTTGGGTTAGGAAAAAGCATAGCGATCGAAAGAAAGCTTGGATATTGGCATGTTGTCGTGCAAATGACTTTTTTGTAAAGATTGTTACGGGCCTTTACGACATGACTTAGAATATCCAGGACGAATTCCAACTACACAAGGCGCTAAAAAGGCAATTCATACAAATTTTTAAATTGCTATTTTTACTACATGTTGGATTCGCTGTCTTATAATCACTTATCAATATTATTATTATTGATGGATGAAATCTCCCTAAAATTAGATTTTCAGATTCATTTACAAGTTATATACGTAAAAATGGAATTTAAACTATAGCTATAAAAAATTCTATGACTTGCAATTTTCTTCGCTGGATGCACCTAAAATTGGAACTAGATAATCTTTGATCGGGTGGGTTCTTACAACGAAATACACACTACATGCATCTACGTAACAAAGTGGACGACTGTCTCTGTGCGATTAAAAGAAGTCCTTTTAATCGGAAAAGTGTACTGTTGAATCGCAAACTTACTCGATATTTGAAGTTACTTTCTAGATTGAATCGTTAAAAAAGAAATTTACTCTCCAAAATGAATTAAAATTTTATGACATAAGGGTTCAATTTACACAATGGCTTGGCTTATTAAATGTTTTTAAAAACTTTCTATGTAAAAAATCTTTGTAAAAACTATCACTAAAAAAGTATATGATCCCTTTTTCCATAAAGCACGTGAGTGCTTTCGTTCATGAGAGTTACATTGTATAAGCAGGCTCTCGTTCATCACGAGAAAGTTATGAGAAAGTTACATTGCAAAAGGTAACATGTAAAAAATGTATAGTCAAAGAGGCAACAGTTTTTTTAAACTTTACAGTATCTTTGGATGTTCTAGTTTCTTTTATGAGATAAACAAAAAGATAAAATTCAAAAGCAAAACACCCCGTTTTCGGTTCATGCTTCCCGATACCTTGTTAAGCGTAAGGCACTAGAACGCCGCATGCCATCGTTTAGGTAAGAGATTTCGGCCCCTCCACGCTATCCTACTTCGGAGATGCAATAGCAAGCTTCCGCCCATCAGACCCCGAGATCACCTGCGATAGTCTTTGCTCGGGGTACGCAGGGAGAGTACGGTCGCCATCGAAGTGTGGGCCCCTAAGCCGCTGCATACTATATCGCACCCAGCTTCCACTGCTAGTTGACATCTATTATATGAAGTTTTAGCTTTACATATATATACATAAATTTAAAGGCTTACAAATGTTGTGGTATTGTTAAAGTCACTACTGCGCATGCCCAGATTATTTCTTCGATAATTTGCGACAAAAGGAGCTAATTGCCACAAATGTAGTTTAAGTACATATAATTAGTCATTGCTACGACTATGAACAATTAGTCGAGTAGACGGCGCATGCTCAAGCGCATGCGCAGATTATTTCAGTACTAAATTGTTACTAAGCATGCTATTTACTTCAAAGTCGGTGCTAGTACATGCAGTTGGTCGTTGCCATGACCAAGAACTTGGGCAGCATGCTCAAGCATAATGCACATGCACAGATGATATATCCAAAACTTTGTGACTGAGCGAGCTAATTACTTCATAATCGGTATTAGTTCATACTGTTGGTCGTTGCCATATCCATTAACTTCGAGAGTTTATGGAGTTGTGTACGCATACTCAAGAAGACTGCGCATGCGCAGATGATTTATCTGAATACTTGTGATTGAGCTATCTAAATACTTCATAATCGTTAGTAGTACATCGAGTTGATTGTTGCCATGATCATGAACTTGGAGAGTTGATGGAGTTGACTACGTATGCTCAAATTCATTGTCAAGTAATTTGTGACAGAGCAAACTCTGAAATTGGCGCTTGTAGATGCACTGAACAAGTTTTCAATCATATATTTTTGGCACGCTCTTTGTCTTCTTAAGCTTGCTTTGAAAAATGCAAGCTTAATATCCGTGACAACGTTAAAAATGTTTTTATTTTCCTCTATAACTTTTATCTGCATATTGCATGTCATATCTAAGCTTTCTTTTCATTTGACGGAAAATGGTTTTTATTTACTCTTACGCCTTCTGCCTTTATAATTAGCCGTTTTGGATTTCTAAAGTAAGATTTACAAATGCCCCAAGAGCATCTTCTTTCTATTTAATTGCCACTATTTTACATATACAATACTATGTCCGACCAATTGAGTCTCCGATTTTTCTAATTTGATCTCGTATTTTTGACACGTGTGTTTACCGTCGGAAAGTAGGATTGAACGTTGTTTATGCGCGAAATTACGAAAATCAGTTGACAGCACGTGAAAAGAAATAAAAATTATTGCTGCATTGAAACAACTCATTTGATAGAAATAGCCATCAATAGAATAAAACGTGCAAATAAATGTGAAGTGACTCACATGAAAAGGAGGTTCTTTGTCTCCATTATCTCTTTGACTGAAGTCGAACGACAAAATTAATTCAACTTTTCTTTCTGGTCTCAGTAGAACAGGAAATGGTGAATTGAAAGCTATACCGCTATCAACAACACACATGGTTTTATTCTTGAATACAGCGTCCTTACCACCAACAGTTCCTATAGTCAGGTTGCGTTGTAAATATTTAAAACCAGCTTTACACAAACAATATAATTGCATGACTACAGATAGCAAATACAGAAAACAAAATTACGTGGATATTTTTTCATACATGAAATTTTGTTCTCTACATATTTTTTCCAAAAATAGTAGCAAAGCCATTCCGATCCTTTACTACTGCAATGCAAATTTAACAGCATGATTATTATTCATTTTTTAAAGAAAGTTAATTACATTCATTGTTTTTCCAGTGATTGCATAAGCCCAAAAAAATTTGCATTGTAGGAGTAAAAAACGCGCAAGCTTCACTACTGGTCCAAAATAAATTTAAGATCACACGGTCCAGTTCTATGATTACTTAGAGAACAGTGGACATAAGAGTGGAGAAGTGGAGAGCACGAGGTTTTTAAGACGGACAAGTGGCTAAACAATATAATATAAAGCAAATTCAGAAAAAGCAAGACATCTTCAAAGAATCTTTCTGTCTAAGGATGACTTTGAAATAAAGTCGAAAATTTACAGTTCACTTCTCGTTTTGTTTTGATGCATATTTTGCAATCCCAAGATGTCTTGCTTCTTCGGAACTTGGTTTATACGATATTTCTTCAAATTGTCGGCTGGTCATGGTTTTTGGCTAAACATTATTAATCGTCACAATTCAGGTAATTTCTTACAAATATGCAAGAATAAAAACCCAGGAAATTTTGTGATTTCATCCAATGGTATTTTTGACGATGAAAACATAAACTACATTACTCAAACAATAAATTACATTTTCTCAAAACGATTTTGACACTGAAACGCAAAATGTATAACTTCATTATTTTTGTCAAAAAAAGATCATGGTCCAAAATGATTCATAGAATGAAGTGTTACCGTTTTTGTTCTTTAACTTGAGTCCACGGCAAAAGTCAAAGCATTCAGCGGCTTTTCCTTTGCGAGTTGCAAAAATATTTTTGGGGTTCAACATCTGCGTCACCCAACCTTTATCTGGAAGGAAAATTGAATACGAAATAAAAACATTGTTTTGAAAATCGCAAATGTCATGGCGAATTGTTAATTATTAATTCTAGAGTTCCCAAAAAAATCTTCTAGGTTTCATAAGCCTGTGAAAATACAGTAAACATCTTTTATTTCTCAATTGCATTGCATAATAGTTTTCATTTTGCAGGATTTTAACAAAATTTTAAAATTATCAAGAAAAAATAATTATTAAAATTGAAAAAAAATGAAAAGTAGCTAGATACAAGAATTTTATGTCATACTTAGGATTAAGGGCAGAGGAGAATTCCATTAATTGTATTTCCAGTGATTAAACACAGAAATATTTCAATTGTAGTGGTAAAAACGGGCTGGCTTTGTTACTACTGATCGAGGGAGATTTGCTTTTGACTACACAATGTTTTAAACATATACCTTCATTTTCTATGAATCGAAGTTTGTGATATAACTATATATACGTAAGCTTCATGCAGTAAAAGTATTTTTGCCGAATTTATACATTACTGTTCTCCAACTAATCCAATCAAAGAAAGAGGGAATAAAAAATAACATAAACGTACTGTCTACTTCGTCTTCGGGCTTATTTTTGTCTTTGTCTTCGTCTTCGCTGTCATTATCTTCTGTCTTACAGTTATCTACATCTATCTTGATTGCAGACACTATTAAAGTAAAAATAATAAGATGACTTTAACTGTGAAACCAAGTTTACATTTTGCAAAACAAAAAAAATCGATTTTGACGATAAGCTTCGCAATGCTTTATTGTTGTCTAAAGAAAATCGCATTTATGGATTGTAATACGCCACTTCGTGAAAATGACATTTATGGATTGTAATACGCAACTTCATGAAATATGGAAAGAAAGCAGTTCAACGAAAATCGTTTTTTCAAAGTTTCATTTGAGTACAAGTTATAGTTTATCCCCAAATAAGAAAAAGTATTGGGAAATCAATAAACCACTGCCCTCCAGAATAAAGCCTGCTTTGCTGTAGGATGTTTTTTTGAGCAATTTTCGTCATTGTTTTTTTTTGGTATGGAACCTAGCTGTTAAGTGAAAAAGCTCTGTTCATTAAGCCTAAACGTCAACTCGTTAAGTTTGAGTGCAACAGTCAAGTTAGAGAGCTTTGAAAACTAAATATAGAGCTGAAAACATTTTTACGATCTGATTATATATGAATTTCATCGTTACGACTCCTTTACCTAATTCATCTTTGTGATTTTTGCCACGTTTTTCGTCATCTTCTTTCAATGAATTCAATATGATGCTGAAAGCACTTCCCCACACACCTGTCTCATAAAGAGAAATAAGTGGATTTTGTTAACACTATATATTTTGCTTGACATTCATCAATAATTCGTAAAATCCTTGAAAAATCTTTGGCTCACTTAATGTAATCGAACTTTTAAAACATGAGTGACTCATGTAAAATATCTAACTCGGGTATTCTCTTTTCAGTGCAATATGTATGAATCAATTACCTTGCAGAAAATGCAATGGAGGTTCGCCATACTCTGTAACTAAACGGCCTTTGTAATACTTTCCACCAAAGTGTGACGTTTTTCCAAAAACACCAAATCTTGGAGAGCCATATTCGAAAGGCGTAAATTCCACCCATTCTAGAAACACAAAGAAAAAAGTATCGAAAATTTTTTAGTAGCTAATATCATATGTGTAGTCATCATTTTACGTTGTGTGAAAGTTGCCCAGTTTTAACTACGAAGGTTAGGTGGTGCTCGTCTGCAAACTTTCTTGACGCCATGTTTGTTCATTCTGGCGTCATGACTAGTACGGAAGTCAAAAAGTATAAGACTGTATTTTTTTGGGGCTACAGGAATATAGCAAAAGCGATAGGAGGTTTTAGTTTTTTCTACACCGTAAAGTTCTTTATTTTTGTCAATTGAATATACAATGTTCAGAATGTGTTCAGAATGACGCTAAACGTGTCAAAAACGACAATGTTGACATTTGCATATAAGAAGTGCTAATAAAATTGAAACTTTTAGTTCATCTATGTTAAAAACACTATAGATTAATTATGAATAACTACTTCGTGAAAACATCAAATTTGAAGTAAAAAAAAATGAGGCATACCAAATATACCTCAATTAAAAACATTGTTGCTATAGCCACTACAAAACTGTAATTAAACAACTCATTACTTCATCAGAAGTTTTAAACATTCACAAAAAAATGTCAATGCCAAAAACACCAAAAGACCATTCCAGAATTTCGTTGAATCTTTTCTTTATGGGACAAAACATAGATTTGTAATGTTCTCAACAATTTATAGCTAGTTGGAATAGATTGCCTCATTTTTAACGGATGTAGCAGAAATGTTCATCTTTACGCCATTTTTAATGTTTCCACTTTTCAGTTTATTTATTCAATAGCCATTTTAAATTTCTATCCATTCCAGATAATTACATTAGATTGTTCAATGATAGTTCTATTACCGTTGAAATCCAAAGCTTTGACATCTTTTTTGACACGAAGAGCTGTTGCAATTGGCAGTGGAAAATTTCCATCTTTTACTTTTTCAACTTGCTCACTCAGTTTAGCATCTTCTTTCTTTAATAGATTAACACAAATACAAATAATATAGCCTAATAACTGAAGAAGAAATTTCGCATCGTCGATTTTTGGGCTTCTGATTATGAAGCTCTTCCTTTCTTAATCTTGCGACAGTCAAATTGCTTTTAAGTATTAAGAAATGTACATAAATCGATAAAGAGAGCTCTTGTAAATTATTTTAACGTCAGTGCTTGTAGATATACAAAAAACTGGGTTCATGTATTTTTCTTTACAACTCTGCTGCGCAGAATTTTTATTCAAAAAATCAAAAAGTTTTTTCAAGAAACTTTGTCGAGCTCTTCTTCATTTTTGTAAAGTTGGGCCATGCAAATTTTAATTACTGTACCTCCAGCAAAGCATGTCCAATTGCCATACCAAAGAAATCAGTAAATCTAACTAACTGACCAGTTTTGGATTTTTCTTTCATGCGTTTTCTAAATTCCATACGAAAATGGCTGTGCAGTTTGGTATCAAATCTTGTTTTCAGGTGTGTTGCCATTTGATCGCAGGAAAGTTCATCTGGCGATTCATTGTTGGCATAAAGAGTTGAAATATACCTAATAGAAAAAAAAACAAAAGAACAAAAATATACATTGCTGATGTCTTTCTTCAGTTATTCTTTCAATGAGGGTTTGTATGAAAAAACAGAGGTCCAATATTTATACAAAAACTCTAGTTTAATGCATAGTTTCTTACTTGTAATTCACAATAAAAAATGAGAGAATAAGATCATTAGCCCACATGACTACATTGTAGAAAGTGTAGCGAAATCGAAAGCCAAAGCTCACCATCATAAAAACATTCTTTTTTTATTTTTTTTTTTCAATAAAAGAGCAAGAACATCAGCAAAAAAACACGTTTTCAACAAAATTAGCAATTTTAGTAGTGACAGTTGTAGCCTAAAACGCTCAGTAACGTTAACATTCGCATGCAGTAGTCTTAAATTGAAAAGATGTTATGCATTCACAAATGAAGGACTGTATTGAATGGAAATCTTACTGTACAAACAATTAGTCATTGATCAGTAAAACTTTAGAAAGTTCACGAACTACAGTTGCTTGGTTTACAATGAAACTAAATATGTAGTCTTAGCATGGTTGCACCTTAACACCATCAAACACATCTAATTTACATCTTGATATAAAAATAGCTTATAATAACTGCTTTTCTATCGACCTCAAATTGGGCCTCGAGAAAAAGACAAAAACAA